GTTTCCATCTTGTGTCTTTAAGCTGTAACAAAAAAAAGCATTTCTATAAAAATCATTGAAATTGTGCAGGCAAAAAAATATATTTCCGATACAAAAGGATTTAAATATATTATTGTACAAGCTATACATATAGAGTACGCCGTGGTTTGATAAACATCAAAATTATACAAAAAAAATTAAACAAGAGGGCCATGATGACGCTAGATTGCACACCTCAGATTCAATGCTAGAAAAGGTAATAATTTCTAGTTTTCAAAGTCGGTCAGTAATGAGATCATACTGGGCATGTCATTTTTACCCAAGCTGCATAATTTTTTAAATATTTGAAAATTTGTAAATGTTTCATGATATTATCTAAGCTCTTAGCTGTATATAAACTAATTATGTTCAGGGCAAAGTCCGAAGTGTAAAAATGAACAAACGGCAATAACTCCAAAATCAGGCAAGGCAGAGTTACAGTTTTTGTGCACAGCACATCTATGCAATGAGATATATCTACCTACAAAGTTTCATAATGATATTTCTTATAGTTTTAGAGATATGTCATGGCAGGGCTCACGCTGTCGGTCGCCATAGTCGCCATTTGCGATTATTTTATAAGATTGGCGATTATTTTTGCATTTTGGCTACAAAATCTGGCGATTATTTTTTACTTCCAACAGTGTTTATAAAAGGTGTAAAAATCGATAAAGAATGCAGTAGACCTAATTAACACCAGCGGGGTGCATTTAATTGAGTGTCAACTTTTTACCGGTCACGTGCTGTTTACTATACTGCCCAAGGTGATAAAATACGGGAGACGCTCAAAATCCCCTTGATCATAATCCCCTTGGTTGATAAACGACATAGTGATCGAAATCCCCTCAACAGAAATGACAGGGTTATCATAATCCCCTTGGCAAAAATAAAGGGGTGGTCATAATCCCCTCAGTGGGTAGTCAAAATCCCCTCAAATAATGTGAAATGGTTGGGAAATTTCTTTTCTTATTTTTCTTTTTAGTTCAATGAATTTAAGAACCAACTGCTTCAAGAATTGCTGAAAAAAAAGAGAAAAGCATACAAACAATTAAAAGGTGTATGTTTGTCACAGCCAGTTAATAATGACACCCTTTATTGATGTTATTATTGCTGAGAAAATTGTAAAATACAAACAAATAAATGATAGTTGATTATAATTAATCATTGCAATTATAGTTATATGTAACAAACAATCAATTAATCTTTGCAATGATAAACACCTTTAAAGGCAAATTTGTTGCACACTAGCTTTAGATCTTTCCAGATAATAACTTAAAATGAGGCTATTAATTGCAGTTTGCTATCTAAAATTACTTCATCTTTGTTTTACTTAACTGCAAACTGTTATTTTGTTGGGTATATAATATGATGGCTCTCTGCAATAGACATGAATACCCAAAATGGAATTCATTACAAGTAACAAAGGTTCTCGTAAGCTTCTGTATGAAGGTTATGCCTACACAAAGAAAAATGAAAATAAGTCCTCAATGCGGTGGGAATGCTCTCAGAGAATTGGTCTGAACTGTAAAGGTGCACTGACTACTGATTTACATGTAAGTATATAATCAATAATAATCATTTGGTACATTGAACATGAGATAAACTAATATGTATCAATTGTGCAAGTTATGCCTGAATTAATTTTTTTCGTCTTATTATTTTTTTTAACCTTGATGATGATGTGAAATCCTTCTGCGGAAAGCTTGACGGTCTGGCGTTTCTTCCATGCAGCGATGTGCAAGAAGGCTTGACGTTACTATGTGAACAGGCCCCAGATCATCTACAGTGTCTGGTTGAGTATTTTGACTCCAACTATGTAAATGGATCCTTTCGCGCAGTCATCACTGCTAATAGAAATATGAGGTTCCGACGCTCCTCTCCAAGATTTCCTCCTCACCAATTTGGAATGTGCACAGTGCCACAATGACTGACCAGGATTAGAACAAATAACCAGTGTGAATCTTGGAACAATGGGTTTAAGCACCTTGTTGGACATTCAAATCCTTCACTTTGGACAGTTGTGCAATGTGTTGAAAAGGATGCAAAAATGGTGGCAGCTGAAATTCTGAGATGTAATCGTGGTGAACTTCTACAGAAACGAGTGAAGAAGGCCACTAAAGCTCACCAGCAGAGACTGAAAGTTTTGTGCTCACAGTACGCAAGTGGCATTAAATCCCTTGAAGACTTCTTGGGTGCTCTGGGACAGATTATCAGAATAAAATAATGTCGGTGCTATGTAAATTCTGTGAATGTGCTAACATATGTAAAATGTGCTGTCAGAAAATAAATAAGAGTGAAATATTATGTCTGGTTTTATATTTTATATTAACATGAAAATGACAACATTGGAGTATTTAAAAATAACCTGTATTATATTGCTAAAGTATACTCCATACTCTTTCCTCTACTCAATGTAACTGCTGTTTGCAACATTTCTTTATGTAACACAATAGTTTAGCTGGAGTGACAAAAGATCAAAGGAAAAAGAATATTGAGTAAAGGGGGTTGTTTTTCACAAGTTGAGGGGATTTTGACCACCCCATCATTTTTGCCAAGGGGATTTTGACTATCCATCAAGGGGATTATGAACACCCGGTCATTTCTGTTGAGGGGATTTCGATCACTATGTCATTTTTCAACCAAGGGGATTATGATCAAGGGGATTTTGATATACATTCTAAAATACATGCGAGATGTATAATTGTATAAGTACTTTAAAGATATTGTCCAGCATTTGTAATAGCCATCAAATATCTGTCAATTAGCCACAAAAATCGTTTTAAAATTGATAAACTGCATATTGACTTACCCAAAATTTACCGTGAATTGAAGTTTACAATTGTAAATTTTGATTTTTTTTGTTTTAAGCTACTTGACTAAATCGCCAGTGGAAAACAATGGTAAAATATTTAAAAAGTATTAACTTCCAAACAACTATTTGCACAACAACCAAAATTGTGAATATTTCTTCAGAAAACAGGAAAAATCCGATTGTCACATATTTTCGCGACACCGATAATTTTGATATTTATTCAAAGGTGAAATAAGCTATGTTTTGTTTAAAAATCTTTACTACTATGGCAGAAAATTTGTATTACATTGGTGATGATGATATTTTTCAGTAAATTATTCAGAAAAAAGGCTGCATTCTGTGAATGAGTTTGCAAACTTGTGTTATTTCTATAGGCTAATATGACCTAGATCTACTCCAGTTCTGTGTGAAATGTGGAAATAGACAGTGGTTATAGCTGACAAAATTTGATTAGAACAAACAAAAGAAGTTGTCTGATAACAACATTATGTAAAGTTATAATGAATCTTTAATATTATTGTTATACAGTAATTATACTAATTATAACGTTTTTATTCTGTTCTATAATAACAATTAAAGTTGTGGTTCTAAAAAAAGGTAGTTATCAATTATTCAATATACACAAATGTATCAATTTATTTGAGAATCCTTATAAAACTGAAAAAGTTTTATATACATATAATGTTTATTTAATCAAGTGTTTATGTTGTTAATCGCTAATTTGTGAAAAGTCCGCTGAACTTTTGGCTATTATTTTTTTAAGTTGAAAATATTGGCTATTATTTTCTTTTAGCCAGTGTGAGCCCTGCATGGACAAAGTTCATAGACAGTAGAAATGAACAAAGGGCAATAACTTCAAAATTAGGCAAGTCAGGGTTATGGTTCTTTTTCACTGCACTTTTACCTAATGAGAGCTATCTTCTTACACAGTTTCATATTGATATCCCTTATAGTGTTAGAGTTATGTCCTGAACAAAGTTCAAAGTATAAAAATGGACCAAGGGCAATAAGTCCAAAATTAGGAAAAGCAGAATTACTGTTCTTGTTCACTGTACATCTACCCAATGAGATATATCAACCTACAAAGTTTCATGTTGCTACCTCATATTGTTACATAGTTTTGTCCCGGACAAGAAAAGCTGACGGACGGACAACCAGACTGACAAAGCGGCGACTATCCTTCGGGGAGCATAAAAAATTGACAGCCTGGAACACAGACTATGATCTTTCTTATTTAAGATTTATGTAATACGGGGAAGTCAAAGACCGGGCCCGCGAAGCGGGTCCGGGCTTTGGCTTGCCCGGCTATAGACTACACGTGTATATTTAAAAGAAAATAAAATAAAAAAAGAATTAAAAAATATATAGAATTCTATACCTACCAATGAAATTTTCAGTGTCAGTTCTAGTCGGGCTCCGCCATTTACAATGTAACTCAATGATAATAGGCGGGGTATTCCGATAACGGAACAAATCTCAACTTTTCGGATAAATAATAAACGCCGAGTGTTCCGAGTGAAAACGAAAGCGGTGCATGTAATACCGAATGACACCTTTAAAACGGAAAGAATGAAAGGAATTTTTAACGACTACCCCGTTCATAGGCTTTGCCTAATTTCATATTATATTTAAATATATGTGTTTACACTCTATTATTGCCATCACTAATAAATCTAACATTGCGAGGGGAGGAAACGGTTTTGGGAAGAACGGTCAGGGTTGGGGTGTGGACTGGTACGAAATGACTAAGGGCCGAGTTGGCCTGACATCCTTGTTAAGTTGTATCTGATCATAGTTGTGAACAATAGAATTAAAAGAAAAGTGGAGTACTCTTACATCTACAAGGACAATATGTAAGATATCCTGCAGTTTTCATTCAACTCGGGTCTGTTCGTTTTTTCACATTGCTGTATGGGGGCTGCCATTTTAAACGGTGTTTATGTACAGAAATTCTCCGGCAATGCCGTAACTTTTCCGGAGGTTTACTCCGAAGTTGGTGATTTGCGATTGTTTTGTAAAAAAATTGTTTTGGAAATAAACATAAAAGTAAATGTATGTGAAAAATAAACATAATTGATTTTATCTGTGTCATAATACAAATATCATAATCATATATATATATATCTGGCCTGACATCCCGGATGACGGGATTTTCTATTACCCCCGTCTTTTATACAAGATTGTAAGGGAAGTAACCATTGTATAAATTTTTGCATAAAAATATGTCTTGTAACATTTTTTGCAGGGTTTTAGGAACAAATGTTATAAACAACCTTATATCACACACAAGTCGTCGGTCATTGAAAACACAGTCTATAAGATATGCAGCTAAGAAAGGTACACAAAACATTACAAATACAATTATGTTCAGATAAGGTGTCCATTTCACAGACCGGGTCCAATTTCGGCGGCACGAAATACCCAAATATACCCAAATACACCCAAATATACCCAAATGTTGCCCAAATATACCCAAATATAGCAATATTTATTTTCGTTTGTATAAAATATAGATCATAATGAGAAATAAATAAATATTTATAAAATAATATGACTTAGCCTGCTATAACTTTCATTCATTCCGTTGAAATGGGCAGTTAAGATGTTGTAAGAAAATAAGTTGTGACATTTGCTTATCTACAATATCGCTTCTTTATGAATGCAATTTTAATTCAAGATATGATATTTGTTGTCTACACTTACATTTCTAAGGTGTAATTTTGTTGAAATTTCATATCATATAGAAGAAGAATGTCCATAATATTAAAAAAAAGTAGCTTTAATGGAGTACATATACTGTATCTCACAGGCGCTAGTCACATAATCAAATATTTTACATTAACGGTCTATATATGTTATATAAAGATATATAATATATCTTATTATAGTATATAGCCCATATAAAACTTTAAAAAGTTTGTTTCAACCACCTGTGCTGTATCTTGGTTCAAAACACAATGATAGGAAAATGTATATTTGGGTATGTTTGATTATATCTTAGTGAAAGTGTATATTGTATTCATGATTAAAACAGCACTTTTTTAGTATAAAACATTTATTTTTAGTATAATTTGACAATATTTGGGTATATTTAGGCAATATTTGGGTATATTTGGGCAATATTTGGGTGTATTTGGGTATATTTGGGTATTTCGTGCTGCCCTCAAATTTAGAGTAAAAAAATCGGCCCGTGGTCAACTCGAAACCTTTCTGGTCAACTCGTCCCGTAGTCAACATATCCTTAAATGAATTCGTCCCCTTACTCGTCACTTATTTTCTTTTATTTCAAAGGTTGATATATTATCATTAAATTCCATTTACTATTAAGTTTATCATAAAATTCTGTTTACTATTTATAAATTAGGAAGTGGCTATCCAAAAGTTCTAGCCGTACTTGAGTCACGTACGACAAGCCTGGACACACTGTATTGGCTAGCCGTACGGCACTTTTGAAAATTATATGGTTCCAAGTCGAAAATGCATATGTTATTTTGTGTCTTTAAACGACGATTTTAATCAAATCTCCGCATTTGTCCTTGTGTGTTCACTTTAATAAAGATGCTCCGCAATTTTTGCAAAAAAAAAAATAAATATACCGACGGTAATTGACGCAATTATCAGAGCCCAACAACAATTATTTTCGGTGTTTTTTTTTTTCAATTTAAAAATTAAACTTAATGAAACAAAAAAGGATTATTATCAAAATTTTGTAAACTATTTCAATTGATGTTATTTAACTGCAACCAAACGCTATTTTTCTCGACGTCTTTAGATGACAAAGTACATTCTTTTCTGTAGCCAACGCGTCAATTAATCTCTAAAAAGTAAACATTCTTGACTAAAATCCTCGCTTTAAGTCATAATAAACATATGCACTTTCGCCTTCCATATATTTTTGAAAAGTGCCTTACGACTAGCCAATACAGTGTGTCATGGCTAGTCGTACGTGACTCACGTACGGCTAGAACTTTTGGCTAGCCGTACGGGCCCGTACGGCTAGCCACTTTCTATAAATTAAGGTATTGTAGCAAATTGGTTAAGTACAAAAAATACCAAACTTGACGCCCTACTGAGAGAAATCGACCTGAAATATTTGAATATCATTGACCAAAAAGGAGACAAATTGACTTTTTCATGATTAACTGACTAAAATGGTGTCGAGTTGACCACATGGCAAGTTTACCATGTGACAGATAATAGATACTTTTGACCTGTAATCCTGTAGTCAGACTCTGAACCTAACTTGCTTAATTCTACCTGTGGCGGCGTGGCTGAGTGGTTAACGCATCAGACTACATTCATTACTTAGTACTGGTTGGTTCCAGGAACGGATTCGAGAGTGTTTCAATTAGCTTATAGCGTCCAACACAATCGAATATATAGTCACACTTTTAATCAATATTTTAATTAATTTCATTGCATTTTAACAAGGTCTAGGATTTTATGAAAAATTTATGGATCATGCATAATTTTATGGAGTTTTGGATCGGTAAATTTACATACATTTCTGTTTCATTACAAACTATGTATCAAAATAGAAGAAGTATTAAAATTCTTATTTCAGAATTGCAGGTAAAAAACCAAAAAAGTTAACTGATAGAATGATTAAATCTCAATTAATGGTTTCAGAACATTTTGATGACATTCAATTATTACTTTTAACAAAAAAATCAAAATCATCATAAAAGGTTGACATTTATCTCATTACATTTGTTAATGTAAACAGTGTATAAAACAACTCCTATAAAGCTAATTTTTTTTTTAAGTTTTAGACTTTTCATAAATTTACAGACTGTCAATAAATATTAGGAAGTTTTAGACCTGTCAAAATAAAAAGTACATCTATATCTGAAGCTTACAGTTACAGAATTCTGTCTGTTAAATTTTTTAACATTGAAGTCAGCTGCTGTTTAGTCATGGTTTTTGAATAGGGGGAATATTTAGCATTATAAGCGGAAAATTAAGCTACTTTGGGGCAAGGAGAAACATCCTGTACGTTTGTATATAAGATATAAAAAAGAATCACTGTATCCTGGCATCTTTGTAACTAGCATTATTAGCATTTTAACACAAGTAGGACATCTGTGGCATCATAAACTTGGTTTCATTCATTTTCCAGATGAATTAAAAAGAAAAAAATCTATATTCTATCAAATAGAGAAAAAGAGGAACCATAACAGCAAAATTTTGCTTGGACTGAGGCAATGTTTGATAAAGTCTGTTCACGGACAGTTCTGGAAAGTGCAAGCAACCAGTCATGCACCCTAACACCAGTTTAAGCAGACTTCAACATTAAACATGAAATGGTAACATTTCAATTTTCGAATTTAGAAACGTTACCACAGATACTGTCTCAGTAAACTAAATTCTGCAGACTCAAAAATGTAAAAAATCAGTGTTTGCTTGGTTCGAAACCTAACTGCTCTTGTGTCATCTTTGCCTGTTCAAAATCCACCCATATTTATATACATGTACTGTCAATAATATCTAGGAATTGTTAGGGGGGACTTATAAATACCATTTCAGCTGGACATTCGATTCCTAATCATTTGCTTTTATACAGCCTTGATACATGTATCTGTTGATGATATTTTTCATATTCAAATTGTCCATGGTTGATAGTCACGTGGTCAAGATCACATATGCTAACTTATGATTTTTTACACTTTTTATGCATCATCTATGATTGTCAACAAGTTTATAGCCTAAAGATCAAGGTCAAACTAAGATCTTTAAGGTGTAAAGTACAAAAAGCATTTGATACCGTCAATCATGATATTTTGTGTGATAAATTAGATATATTAGGTGTCAAATCTATTTCTTGGTTTAAATCATACTTGTCAGGAAGGTATCAGAAAGTAAGTATTGGTAAAGTTTTTTCTGATTCAATTCCTATTACGTGTGGGGTCCCTCAGGGCAGTATTTTGGGTCCTCTTCTATTTCTCTGCTACGTTAATGACATGGTAACAAGTATCGATTCTGATTGCAAGTTAATTTGATATGCAGATGACAGCACAATATTATTTTCGCATAAGGATCCAAAAATTATAGCCCAAAAACTTGGAAAGGTATTGGAACGATGCTCAGATTGGTTAGTAGATAATAAATTATCTCTACACCTGGGCAAGACTGAATGTATGCTATTTGGTTCTAAATCGAAAATTAATAAATTACAAAATTTTTCCATTTCATGTAATGATCAAACAATAAAGTCTTCGTCTGAAGTTAAATATCTTGGTTTGAATATCGATTGTTACCTATCAGGAGATAAAATTGTCAAGGGCATTCTTTCAAAGGTGAATGGAAGATTACATTTTCTATACCGTTACAAAAATTGTTTATCGGAAGAAATAAAGAAACACTTATGTCCTGCCCTTTTGCTGTGTCACTTTGATTATTCTTCATCTTCTTGGTACCAAGGACTGAGTAAGTCACTGAAGCACAAACTTCAAGTAGCTCAAAATAAGGTTGTGCGCTTTATAAAAGACTACACTCCTAGGACTTCAGTGACAAATAAGGTTCTGTCCGATCTTAAATTATTAAATGTCAATGATAGAGTTAGACAGTTAAGACTCAACCACATTCATAAAGTTTTTTACAACAAAAGTCCTTCTTATTTAAAGGAATTGTTTAAGGTTTGTAGAATATCCAATTTAAGATCCAGTAATTTTAATTTTGTTTTATCTCAAAATGATTCTTATGTTAAAAATACATTTTTCTACTATGCCATTAAAGATTGGAATTCTTTACCAGACAACATTAGATCAATTGACAATATCCAAACATTTTAAACGAAAGTAAAACTTTTTTTATGAAATGAAAATGATAAACAAGTGAATAATATGTTTATTTATTATTAAATTGACGTGTAACTTATGATAAGGTTTTGAAACATGTTTATGTGTACTTGATATGTTTTAGTTTAAACGAAATTTATTTCATTTTGTTTGTGTACAATGTACTTGTCTCATTATATTGAAAAGTGTGTCTTGGTTATTGAAAATTGTCATTAATTTTAATTTTGACTTCTTTATAACTCATTTATTATTATGTAAGTTAGTGTAATAATTTTACAGAAAATGGACCCCATTGGAAATAAGCTTTTAGCTTAATGGGCAATCCTAGGGATACATAGAACATACTTATTAATTAATCTTATAATTATTTTTGTGCATTTATTTGTGTGTTTTTATATATATGCAAGTTGATTTCTGTGATAAAATTGTATGTGTATAATTATGTCTATTCCCTGAATAAATCGATACGATACGATGAATGCCAATTTCCATTCATCAGTTCTGTCATTTGAAAGGATTTTGAATTAACTTTAGGCATACTTTTAATGCACATAAGGAAAACTTTTCACACATAAATGACAGGTCAACAGCTAGAAAGGTGAAGGTTATACAATGTACTTGAATGTTGAAATAGTACTGATTATTGATGGCTGTTTTTGCTTTTGAAATAATTTGGCACACTGAGAATATGAGAAATGTTAGATTGTCAAATACATGTATGACCTTGCCTTTTACTTAACCTTGACTGTCAAGGTGAAATGATTGAAATCTGCATAAAGTGTCATAACTTTTTATTTTATTATTATTTTATACATAAATAAAATAGAGAAATAAGAAAAAATCAAGTGGTGGTGATTCTTGCTTTGTTCACTTCACAATATTTTACTTTAAAATACATTTGCAAAATTTCATAAAATATTTGCATTTATCTGGGGGCATGCTGCTTTAATTTATAACTTAACCAAAACAAATTGGTTAAGCTTATATGTAGTTTTTGTTTTCCACATAGTTATGAGTTTTTAGCTGTGTCACCAGTTTTTTTTTTCTTTATCGTAGGAGCTGCACCTGTAAAGAAGAAAGAGCTAGAGGTAGTGACAGATGCTAGAATATTGTGCACACGTCTATGCGGAGGTAACATAAATAAAGAAGGAGATGATCCGGTGATTGGACCTGACGAGGATTATCCAGATTGGCTGTGGACATTGAGGATAGACAGGAAGACTACACCACTGGAAGAACTTAGTGAAGATGATCCTGCATACTGGAAAAAATTAAAGATAGAAACAATAAGACTGAATAATTCTAAATTTTTTAAGAAATAACAATAGTGTACATTATGTATACAAGGAAAGATATTACGAAATAAAGTTACTTTCAAGGGTATCACAAAGTTAGAACAGATGTGTTAAATATTTGTTTTTACACTTGAAAATATTTAACAGGGCATTTGAAAACAAAATCTTTTGAATATCACATTTATAAGTTTATATTACAGAATTCTATTTTATGTAGAATCATTGTTGCCCTGACAACAGGAAATATGAAGCTATCATGCTCTTAAAAACTGACAGTCAATTTCTGCATTACTACATGACACCTTGTGAAGTTATTGCGGGATATGACTTGTTACCTGAAAGATTGGAGTTGTTCTGATAAATTTTAATTTGAAATTAGCCTCGTCTTGTTTTAATAACTATTATTTTTACCAAAAAAGAAATCAGTAGAACTCAGCCATTCTCAAGAATTATCTCTAGAACCCTTTAACATCCGAAAAATGATAAGTCTGGTGACACAGTGTGTACGTATATACATATATAACACAAATTTAATGAACAATAAATTGCCCAATAAATGTGGAGCAATATAAGCCAATGTTGCAAAATAAATATATCATTGAAAATTATGGCTTGAAAATTATTCTATATTGTATTAACCCACCCTACCTGTTAATTACAACCTGGTAGCGTTGTCACATTGATGAGACCCAATCTTTTTCATAATACTGGGGTAAATTTATTAACTATTGGACAATTTTTGCATATAATTATGTAGGCTATGGTTTGTAACACTGCACCAAAACTTCTTATGAGGCGGTTCATTTCACTCCGTATAGCTTCTGTCTCATTTAAGTCTAGAACTTTTGGTGGTATTCCATTACGTTGTTGTTTATAAATGTTCAGAAAGATTGTTGGTGCTCTGGACATGTGTATGTTGTTCTTTAGACATTGATAAAACCAAAGTTTTAAGCTCATCATATTGGCTATTATTGGCGCTGAGATTACTGATTAAGAACAGTGACAACAGTCTTCCTGAACTTCCCCGTGGAGTGCAACAGACTATCGCCAAATAACAAGCCAAGATTTTCTTAAAATTACCCAAAATTAAATCCATGTATGCCTACCTTGTTTTTGATATCAACATTGCAGTTTGATTTATTGTTGTATATTTTAAGGCAAGGTAGGCATATATTACTTTAAAGCTGCATGCCTCCAGACGATAAAAAAATATTTCAAGAAAATCACACTTTCTGAGACTTTAAGAAAAGTAAATAGATTCAAAATTAAAGTAATAATTTTCAAATTAAATGCCATTCATGACGGATTTTGCAGTATTTTCACCATATTTCTACAGCGTTAGTCACGCAGTAAGGGCAATTTTGTATATTTTGACCTCTTTTTTTGTAATTTACATGGGTTGTTAGTGTTGTTTGCAATGTGAAAATTATTTTTGTTGTTTACTTTTTAATACAATTTAAAAAATTCATGAAATTTAGCATGAATCTGGAGGCGTGCTGCTTTAAAATAGAGATCACAGAATGATGGGAATGTGTCTTAAATTTGTGTTTGTTATAAAATTGAATAGATGGAATATCATACCATGTCTGTCAACTGTATTTATTGAAAATTTCAACATGATAGGGTCAATATTGACTCACATTTATTTATACATGCACGCTTGTATGATTTGTTAGGGCTAATAAAGTTTGAAATCTTAAGTCAATCCCTTCAGTAACGAAAATGATAAGAGCCAAAAGTATATAAAATCTTAAAAGTAAAATAATAAGTCCAAGGCAGAAATAACTCTTAAAATAAAGATACTAGAGTTAAGAACCTTGTCAAACATGATGCAAAATTATGAAAAAAGAACAATTATACAATTATAAAAAGTTATTATTATTTATAACAAAGATAACTGTTAAAAAAATATATAAAAATAATCCAAGTTTAAAATGGAGATAATTCTGGAAATACAGGGGCTAGACTCATATTTGAGCCGCATCACGACAAAACCAACATAATGGGTTTGCGACCAGCATGGATCCAGACCAGCCTGCGCATTCGCGCAGTCTGATCAGGATCCATGCTGTTCGCTATCAGTTTCTCTACTTGTACGTAATAGGGTTTGTAAGCGAACAGCATGAATCCTGATCAGACTGCGCAGATGCGCAGGCTGGTCTGGATCCATGCTGGTCGCAAACCCATTATGTTGGTTTTGTCGTGACGCGGCTCATTTGTGCATAGTCGGAACCCACAGTAAACATTCTGTATATACTACATTTACCGGTAATACTGGTATTGGTAAATGGTAAATAGCTTGGTTTACTGATTATGCCATTTGTGTTTCAATCCCTCAATGATTTATGACTAAAAACTAGAAAACAAACATTATAGTGTTTAAAACAAGAAAATAAAAAAAAAAATTTTAAAAGTTGTTCCAAAAAGAAAATTTAAATAAATGTAACAAAAAATGAAGTTAATGTTCATGATGTGGATTTAAGTTGGTAGTAACTAGTAATTGTCTTAAGAAATAAAGAAAGACATTTAATATGAAATAACAATATTTACACTAAATTCTTGGCTTGAAGGAGGATAATTCTTAAAAATAAAATGAGCCAGTTTTGAATATTGCGAGATACGATAATGGTGATGATGATGAAAGATCAACTATTCTTAAAAAGAAGTAGACCTAATTAAATATACTATGTATATGTGTAATGCTTTAAATAACACAAAAGGTCTTAGCTTGGGTTCAAGTAATCCCAGACAAATCTGCATAAAGTTAATAGCACAACTTGGCTTTGAAATATTTTATCTTTAGAACTATTGTCCATTTCTGAAAAGCAGCAGTGGCAACTGAGCACTGACAGGAACAAATCTATACCAAGAATATAATTATTAATATAACAATAAAGGGCCTCGGCTTTTGAATGATCCTAGCTTTTCAAATGATAGAAAAACACAAGTTTTATCAAATTCTAACAAATTGTTTTGATGAAGAAGCTTTGAAAAGATTTAAGACAAACAACCTAGCAGTGAAGCTCGTTCATTTTAGTTCCTAATGTTGCTAAATGAGGCCTGTTTTTATCTATTTATGACTGGTGATGAAAAAGTTTATGCACAATTTCAAAAAAATGTTCTTCTATGGTCAGTTTCTTATATTGTATTAAAGTTGCATGCAAACACCAAAGTTCATAAGGCCAAACTTCAAAAGAAAAAAATGTTTTAACTTGTGTTCTTTGCAAATTATGACTGAATTTACTACGTATATAATTTGGTCTTTTAACATTTATACCATAGAAAGATAGTAAGACTGTGTTGGAATAAGTGGACTGATTTAAGATTATTTATGGGGATTGCTAAGGCCTTGTTTAAATACATGTTTATTTGTTCACTTCACAGCATTCTTAATACACTGTATTTAAAAAAACCCAACATTTTCTATATTTTCATAAAATAATGTGGTGTTACACTGACATGTGAAGATCCTTCAAGTATATCTTACTTCAGTAAGAAATCTCCAGCTTAAAATGTGTTCTTGAAGATGTAGGTGTCTGGTCTATCACAACTGTCTGGGTTTATTGAAGAAAAAAAAAGCAAGTTTTCTTTACTTTACAAAATTTATTCTTCTTAAATGAAGATAAGTAAACAACAATAACAATTGTGAGGTTAAAACTGCTACACAATGCTGTAAAACATCGAGTGTTACAATGTGCAATTTCTACCAAAATAATTCAAAAAGTGTTTTAATTACATATACTGTATCAATTAAATTACATCAAATATAACAGTTTTAAAAATGTTCAGCACATAATAAATGAAAGTCTTGTTAGTTCAGAGAGATGAGTGAAAACCTTATGATATGAATTAGAAAAATTGTCAGCAGACAAATAATAATGATTTCTGTTTTATGAAATGATATATATACAAGTTTATTACCCTTCCAGATTTTTTCCGCCTTTTTGATTGGATATTGATCACCCGAAAGAAATTGATATAACCGAGCCAGACGGGTAATATACACACTAAATTTCCCCGTTTGGTACCCAACGTTGTAAACAACATGCGCGGAGATGATGCGCGTACGGTTCGATTTTACGCGGTGTAAATTCCGATTTAAAAGCACTTTTTAACTGTCAAATGATAAATATTTACCAAAGTAGAGTTATGATACATATAACCATCAGTATCAAAAACAAATATGACCTTGTGAAAGCTTGATATTAATTACAAAAAAGTGCGTTCAATAGACTACTCCTTTTCTCTTGTTTACTTTTGTAAGGTACGGGAAAAATACGTCATGTATTTATGTGACGTCATGTTGTGACGAAGAGGTATCCTAAAGGGAATCTTATTTCGACGTTTCATTTGAAACAGCAATGATTATTTAAAAAAATAGTCTAAAGTCGACAGGGGAAGGGTAATAAAATTATTATTTTGGTTTTGGAGTGATATATGTGGATATATTACCTGCCAAGATAAAATATCACCCTCGCCTAACGGCTCGGGTGATATAAAATCTTAACAGGTAATATATCCACATATATCACTCCAAAACCAAAATAACATATAATATATTAATGTAACACTGATGCATGCCATAAACTGATATACATACTCCTACAATTAGAAATATGATATAAAATATAAGACTAGTTTGGCAATCATAATTTGTTCATGACTTTGTCCAAATTTTAAGAATTTGAAATCATTCGTTCCTCACTTCATATAATTAATATACAGGTTAGTTCTCATACACTAAGTTTAATGATGATATGGCTTCTGACTTTGTATTATTGATCTCATTCAGTTAGTAAAGTAACATGAAACATGATATGTTGCTAAAGTCTCATTTTTTTTTTTTAAGATAAATAACTCGAGTTGAATGTAAGGGACCAGATTACTCGATACATTCATGCTTTTTAAACAATTCTTTCATGCTCTGTACATGTACAGAAGATCTGTAGATTAAATATCCTATAACAAAAGTGAAATTGCTTTTATTTTATGCTAAAAGATTCATTCCTTACATAATAGTGATCAAACAAGCATCAAGTACATGCGAAATATTTATGTCATCAAAAGTAACTAGATATATCACACTCTATTTACTATTATAGTATTACACTTTCTATCTTGCACAGAAATTCCTTCGAATTTTAAAAATAACATGACATAAAGCATATCATGTATACATTGAATGAATTTTTGCCACACATGTTACAAATGAAAATGTTAAATGTAACTTTATATTATGCATTCTTTAAATTAAGTTCACAACTTTCTGATATTTTGTAACAACATACCTGGAAAGGATAGAAACCTTGCACATATCTACAAAGCATGCATTTAGATGAGGCCAGTTCTGATTGACACAGTACAGTATTTAAGTATACAACTGGTTGATAACATATTGGTTGCTACAGGTTGTCAGGCTTTGAGTAGTAGCTAATATAATTTATGTGCTATGGTAAAGGCCTGACTTACTAGCCATTGTACCTATCACTTCCTTATATGCTGCTTATGTGTAAACCAGAGTTTGTAACTTGTTAGAAATGTCATCATTTCAATCAACACAAACACTAGACAATATCACATTTGTACAAATATCATAACAAATACAAAAATCTCAAAAATATTTGGGTCTTTTAACAACAATTAAAACCCTGGCTAAAGGTCATGCTTCCGTTTTGTTCCTTTATTTGTGTTTGCTTCCACTGGACTTTCATTTGATTCTGACATTGTATCTTTGTTATATTCTGCCTCACTTGAAACATATGTAACATTTGATTCCATATCTACCCCACCAACAGATTTCTCTATTTGCACATATACAACATTCTCTTGATTGTTAGTATTTAACGTCTCTTTTTCTATCTCATCGTCTCCATCAATTTCTAAATCCTGAATTACAGCTTTACCAAATTCTGGCAGGACAGGGGTTTTTGGTGGTTGTTCCCAGAATTCAGCTGGTTTTACAGTGATACCATATGGGTTATCATCTCCAGGTAGGAGGTCATCCCCTGATTTGTGAAGCAGATTCCTGGAGTTTCCAGGCATCTTTACAGCCTTAAGGTCCTCCATTGAGTCACTGTCACGGAATGGGTTAAAGTTTGGAACTATCAAAAATGCGAATGATAACAGAAGAACCTGGAAATAAGAAGAAAACAGAATGTAAGAGGTTTGAAAATCATAATATTTCATCAAAAATAACATACATTAATATAACAAAGACTTTGCATATGGTACAATGCAAGAACATAAATAGAATGAATTAAATGATCTAATAAGAAATAAAAGCTTTTGTTTAGTTTCATTTCAATCAATACACCATTTCCAAAAGATTCTACGTCATTAAATGCAACAGATTTTGCTAATGGACATATTAACGTAAACCATTATTGATCGAGAGTTACAACACATGTCACCCATAAAGTTTAACCAATCATACGATTTACATTACATGTATATCTATATTTGATCTTTAAAAAGATGTATTCAAGACTTTAGGAAATCGAGAAAATATCTTCTTTTCTTTTTAATTTAATGCATATTTATGAAAATTTACTTCTCATACTGACTGATAATAAAGTGGTATAAATCAAAAAATCATTTAATAGCAAAAATTCACAGTTAATTCACAATGGGTAATGTAGTGTACTATATGCCACAGTTTTTGTTTCTGTATCATTTTAAATACAGCAGTGATATCACAGGTTACATAGTAACAATAAAATCGTACCATAACACATGTAGATGCCTGAGCTGTTCTTGTTGATTTCAGACTCAATATTGTCTGTAGTTTCTTTAACTGGTTTAACAATGTTCTGAAATAATCATATAAAACAAATGATTCCGATATCTATAACTTCTCTTATACTCTATTTACATATTGTCATCATATGTTTTGGAAATTCAGCAGATTTTCTCACATATCTTGTTATATAAACAACAAATACGGACCGGACATGTTTAAAACTTGCAGCTTTACAAATAAATATTATGCTTAAAATAAATATTTAAAAAAAGAGTCACTTTTCTACATATTTAATATGTAGATAATTAAAAATAAGTTACAGTATTATATACATGTGTTGCTCTTGATTTTTCAATCATAAATCAAATATTAATAATATGTTTCAAAGCTAAGTTCAGTACAATTTATGTCTTGAAAAATAAATGAATTTAAGAACCTAAAATCCAACCAATCAAGCAAGAGGTAGCAGAAGGATGTAATAATAATAAATACTTTTATTGTGTCCAAATTTCTTTCATATTTATTTATAACAGCAATCCTATCTAGACATATTTTTTTAATCTCACATTTATAGTATATAGCAATATCAACATTTAACTTACACATTTTGTTTTTCAAGTTGATCAACTTTCTTATGTAATGTGTGATTTTCCTGAGTACATTTCTTCACTCTTTTCTCTAATCCATCAACATAGTCCATCTTACGTTTTCGACTTTCCTTCGCTGATACCTGTTAAATAGTAAATTAATTCTCCATTTTTTAAACTGTTCAAAGTTATAAAGGGTCACTCATATTACTTAATACAATAATATGTCGAAATGGAAAGAATTATTAAGATAAAAACGAAATTTCATAAAAAACACATTTTCAATACTTAAATATACTTTACAGCAACCTGTGCATCTTTTTTTTTTAAATACATCAAATAATCACAATTTAAGTAGATACAAGATCGTAATATTTTCATATTTTCTAACAGCTTAATGTTAATTAGATTCAATAGACTATCACTTAACATGAAATAATCAGTTTTAGTGAAATATGGCATTTATGACTTTTTCCGTTAAAAAAGTTTTTCATGGATAATATTTATAAATAGATTTACAGAATATTATCTTAATTTCAAATTAAATTCCAATCCAATAGGTTGTTACTTTCAAGATTGATGAACTGTTTTTGCTGGGCTAAGTGCTAGTTTTGACAATATTTCAATCAAACAAATGCCAACTATTTCACAGAAAAGGTCAGACCTTGTAAAATACAGTGCCATTTTATCAATTAAACCACCTTACACTATATTACCATGCATCACAGTCACTTAATTTACCTTATTTCTAATCTTTCTTCTAACTGCTTTAAGAGCTCTTTCTTCCTCTTTGGTAAGTGGCATATCTGTGGGTATATTTACACCCTCTTTTGACAGAAGGTCTTTCTCCTCCTCTGTAAGTCTGAGCTCTGGAAAGTTTCCAAGTTTTGTCCCTGTAGATACATCCTTCATTGTAAAAGGTAATGACTCTGTGGTTGCTGACACTTTAATGATTTTGATTGTCTTTGTTTCACTTCCATCATAATTAACTGCAGTGTTTGTGGTGGTGTCAAAGGTCATAAGATCAGTGTGAGAGCCTAAAATGAGAAGAACAAAAGAAATAATTAAAATTATCAACACATAAGCCATTAATGATAATGGAAAACTAGATATTACCAAACCATGTGGTAAAAAAAAAACTTGTCAAAACTTCCTGTTCATGGTGAATAAGAAAATTCCAACAATTTCATCCAAAAGACAGTAAAGTGGCACTTTCACTATAGAAAGTTTCTATACAATTCTCCAGGTAAACTGGGTTTAATGACATTATCAATTTATGTAATGATTACATGTATGTAAAAGATATTTGAAAAATATTAATAAATAAAATACAATTTTACCAATTATTTATAATTGCAAAGCAAGCTAGCATAGGAGTGACATTGAAAAACATGATTTCGATGCTTGAACAATTCATATCTATTTGTCCAAATAATGTTCAACACTTGTTTATGGAACTATATCTTAAATGCTGGTATAATGCTTTTTGATATTTTGGCTACATTACTACCCCCAAGCACAGCAAATGATAGCTTGTTTAATGCCTCTTTTTACACATACATGTACAAGTCAAAGTGTAATTTCATTCTTTACACCAGTCCTCAACAAACTTAATTTTTCTATACACTATTACATGTATATGCAGTGACATGGTGTTTGTAAACAACAGCCAATTTCGTAAAATTCCCTCATCTGTAAAATGTATCGAGAAAAAAGCTTCATATAAATTTTCAACTTTTAAATTATAACTTTCATCTTTTGATGTCTTTTAAACAAGTTTTTCTGCAGCTGTACTTAGAAATAATCAAATAATCAGTTAAACAATTGAATATACCTAAGTCTATTGAAACATCCTCATCCATTGATGCCACCTCCATATTTATCTGAGATCAATGCACTAGTATCAATAGTGTCCAATTCAGAAAAGTCAAAAAATGTTCAAGGTCCATATTATCGATTTCTGTTTGCCCTGGACTACAGGACAACTGATCTGCAACTGACACTGGGCTTAGTTCATCATTTGGTACCATTTGATGAGGACTGTACTGAAAGTCACTATGGGGTGAACCCGACAAGCTTGTTACATCATTACTAAACTGAGACATATCATTTTTTCTGAATTACGAGGAGAATTTCCTCCGAGTCTACTGAACTCCACTGTCACTTCCTGCAGGTGACTTTGCTGGGCTGCATGACATAGTCATGATCTGTGAATGCTGATGGGGTCTGTGGGGCTGTTGATTTTTCTATATCTGCGAGGAGGCAATCACCAAACAAAGTGCCAAAGTCTTCTGACATCAAGCCAAGGTTAGACTGTAAAACATTAAAAAGTTCAATACCAATAAATCTTCATAAAAAAATTAATATCATAAAGTGTTCTGTGAAATGTTGCATGAATCTCTTACATTCTTGTTATATTTCATATAAGTTATATTTCGTATTTATAACTAAGTTTGGTGAACTAATTAAAGGAAGCCTGAAACAAGCTAATAAGAACAATCTTGAAATGTTATTTTTTACATATTATTTCAATTATGCAAAGCATGAAATCTTAAGAGTAACTACATAAAATCAATTACTGTTAAATCCCAGTCTTCATCTATATCCTGTACAGAATAGTTACTATCATTCAACCAGGTAATTATGTTAAGCGAGTCCATGATGACTCTTTTCAACTGATTTTATTAAACACAATTCTAAAATCTAGATTATTTATGCTCCATGTAGGAAGTTCCTAGCTAAAAACAAGTTCCCTAGTTTCAGAAATGGTCAATAAATATGTATAATATAACAACCAATCATAAGAGCCAGCTTTTGGTCCCTTAATTTTTAAATGGATCAATATGAGCAAACAGATGTGAGAACATATTAGTGAATACATGAATCATGACACAAAAGGTAAACCATCTATTATCCTGTCCTACTTCCTGGCAAATGTACGACAAAATTCCAGACAAACTTACAAAGTCTAAATTCTGTATCTTCAGGTAACTCCTCCTTCAATATTCCTTCAGACTTGTCAAAAAAGGCATAATCCAAGATTGGCTGATTAACCTGCCATTTTTCTATTACTGTAAAATCTATGTCAAGGCTTTGAACAAAAAGCTGATATTTGGCAATGCTGCATAGAATATCCACGTCCTTAGAAAACAGAGTGTAAACTTATCAATAATTTTAAATATGAAAACGAAAATTTTTCTCAATGTAGCATGTGACTCATTATAAACAAAAACGAAAACCAGGAAGTTAACCTTGTAATACAAAAATAATTAAATTTTCGGTAATTTGGGGTTTTAATTTATAAATTGTTTTAGTCAAATCTGATAAGAAATAAAAATTTTTACCTTCTAGCACAAAAAAATTTCTATCAGAAGTTAAATATTTTCCTATAAATTAAAAATTATTTTTCATGTACAAGTTGTGACAAAAAAACCGGAAATTGACGTGTTTTCAGGAAGTTTGGTAAGTTTGTTTTCTAAAAAATAATAGAAAAAATTGGTGGGGGGGAAAATCCCGGGATCGCCTATAGAAAAAGCCCGGGATCCGGGATCGTAAATTAAACATATAGTAAAATCCCGGGAAATTGACCACCGTATCGATAAAGTATCGATTATTTCATGCATTTTGTCAAAGATATGCTTCTGATATGCTTGTTGACAAATTTTAATGATGTTTTTTTTTTTTTTTTATCGTTGATGGCTATGATATATATTTGTATTTGAATGATTTCCGTTGAGACTCGCTGTACTGTTTATTCTTTTACATGTGTCTTGGTTGGTTATTTTTCATAATGTTTGATAATGGAAAGTTTAATTAATAACAGCCGTACTGAAAATATACAATTTGTGAAAATAAAAGTTTAGTTTATTAAATTATAATTGTTTGTTTAATTATTATATTATTATTATTATTATTATTATTATTAATTAATTATTTTGAAACGTTTTTTTAGAGCTTTTTGAATAAGTTTGATTTTGTAGTAGTTAGAAAAAAATCTTTTAGCGTATTTGTTCACAATGAAAAAGCGTTAAAGTGACCTGCAGAATGTCACACCAAGCCATATCAATTATTTAATAATTGTAAGTACATGTACTGGCAGTGGAAGTGATTGTATATTGGTTCGAGATTATTGACACAAATGAAAACGTGCACTTTTATAATAAATAGTTTGAGAGATGAGAGACACCTGTCTGGTGAACCAAAGCGTGATTGTACCGTAAAGTGAATAAGCCGGTTTTTTTTTTTTATTAAAATACATTTGTTTGATTTGTCACGGAACAAGATGACCTTTTAATAAATCACTGGATTTTGATTTCCCCTATAAATTAATTATATAATTTCCACTTGTCAAACAGAACAGACTTGTAAAATGTTCAAATCATTTTACTCCTATCAATATATGAGTATATTGTATCTTTAAAATATTAAAACAAACGTTTCAATAGGACAGATTAATCATTTCCCTATGGATTCATTACGATACGTGTACAATATTTAAACAGAATATCTTTGATCTAACAATAATCACATTTCAGTAAAAGCCGGGATAGTATTAGAATATAGAGATCCCGGGAATTAACGCACTGTCATGTCATATTCAGAAAAGCCGGGATAGTATTAGATATATAGAGATCCGGGAATGAACCGTCTGCCATATGCATTCAAGAAAAAGCCGGGGGATCGTTATTAGATAATAGGGTCCGGATTTGTCCACTGCCATGTCACATTCAGAAAACCGGGATCGTATTACACAAAGAGAGATACCGGGAATTGACCGTCCTGCCATATACATTTTGAAGAAAGCCGGGATTGTATTAGAAAAATAGAGATCCAAGCAGGATACATTACGAAAAGCCGGGATCGTACTATACAAGCTGTGTCTATATCATCAATCGTCGTCGTCGTCATCATTATAATATGTTATTACTTTGAGCAATGCAATAAATTTGTACATACTTTGGTTAACAAAATAAATACTTAAGGGTTACGAAAATATTTTTATAACATGGACATATAAGATCAAAATGAAAATTCGACTTCTAAGTCTCTCAAAGAACAAATTCAATTTTGGCAGGTATTTGTATTCTATTTCTAGCATATCTGCCAGTTTGTAATTGATTCGGTTTGTGTGCAGAAGTTTTAATCTAGTTACAATCGTCCTCTAATTTAGGCATATATCTAAATATGCTTTGTTACAAAAAAAAATCAATATACAGACATATAAAATTAAAAAAAAATTTTGGCAACGTGAAAGCCTTCTGGTATAGTATATATCATTAAAAAAAAAACGTGTGTTCGAGACATTTTTTAATATGCAGATAAATCAGCTTTTATTAGTATTTACACGTCTTTTACTTAAAATAAAAGCATAGCAAGTCGGACTTGTATTTAAATAATTATTTATAAATACTCAAGCAAACGGTCGCAAAAAAACGTTGATTTTCCTACTTAGATATATAAAATCCCGGGACATCGTATTTAAGAAAATCCGGGAAATCAATCCGCGAGAAATTTACCATTACCATCTTGCTTTCATAAAAGCCGGGATCTATTAAACAGTACAGAGAATTGACCACCTGTCATACATCTCAAAAGTTTTTTTTGTTATCAATTATGTTGAGTATATCTTATGATCTTTTCTAAAAATAATATTTAAATACATGAACATAAAATTTAACCAATTATTGTATTAACAAAAACTTTGATTTTTCTCAATTAGGCATATAATTACAAGTATTGTGGTTTCCGCATTTTATGATTGTTAATAAATAGCTCTAAATATATTTAAATCTTAAGTTAAATTAATTTACCATTCATTACATACAATAAAAAATAAAAAGTTATCGTTTAATCGCCTTTCATTACGACGATAATCAACACAAATATAGTTTATTCGTCTAATACGATCCCGGATCCCGGGCGTCCCGGATCCCGGGATTTTCCCCCCCACCAGAAAAATTGGAAATTTTGGATTTGGATAATATTTCTACGACTGTCTGCATATAGATCCATGTCGTCTACTTTTCAAACATTTTCAAAATGTCCAGTTCGATTTTGATTTAATTGTTTGTTTATGCAATGTAAATATTCAGTCGTGATAAAACCAACAAAGATTTTGAAACGTTATTTCCGATCATTCCGACTACTTCAATTTCTTATGCGGTGATGTTCATCCCAACCAGGACCTGAATCAACAACATCCGCGTCTGCGACCATAATTCATATATGACACAAAACCACAATTATTTTACACTCCCTCATGACAAGGGATACAGGGGTTACACAAGGTTACAGTGGGAGACAGTTAATTTTTACACTTAATTTTCCTTAAGTTACAAATTTCTGGTAATATCTACCATAATTACAAACTCATAAAATTTTCATGACACTTTTGCTAATAATTTAACAATTGTTATTTACCACTGATTACAATGTCCAGAGTTTTCTAAGCAAAAAAGACATCATTCTTACTGAGCTATCCAATATTGATATTTTACCTTTTACTGAAACATGGTTAAACCTCAACTATATATACATTTCGAAAACTATTCATCACCACACAAAAAAGACAGACAGAATCTTCTTCTTCCAATATGGTACAGACACCTTCCGGCGTATACTCGTCCTAGCGCAGCGCGGTGTGAGAAGTGTCTATGTATGTACAAAAGTGATTTAAAGGGTACTATGTATAGTGCTGGTAAAAAGGGTAAAAAGGTAAAAACACCTGACAGTCTATCGGAGAGTGAGTGGTAGTACTTCCCTCTTGAACTGTCTGGGGAAGACTGTTCCAGAGGCGGATTGTGTCTGGGAAGAAGGATCGCTGGTAGCACTGGGTTCTTGCAAATGGTACCAGGTAGTGAAGTCCATGTCCTCGAGCAAAGTTGATTGGGGTGAGGTTGGATGTAGGGACTTCAACTAGGCCGTTTACTATGCGGTTCATCATGGTCACCTTGGCATGGGCCCTGTGTTCTC